AAAAGAGGCACATAATTGGTGCCACAGCTGGCACTGAGCAAGGACATCCAGCGATAACCAGGCCTTGAATTAATAAAGAGGCTCAGAGAGTGTTTTCATGTAAATCATCAACCTGGCAAAAAAGACTTAAAGTCTACACAAATAACTGACCAAAGAAATGCAAGAGGTGATAAAGAATTTTCACTGCACACATGGAACAGTGATTGGGTAACCGCTGGGGCATATTCCAGGAATTAACTGTATAAAGGAGAAAAGCACCAGTCTCAACTGGCCTGCTAAGATCAGACGACCCACTCCCTTCTTCTATGAGACCAATGAGACCAATAGGACGCTGCTGGAGCTCTGGGTGACTTTCCTTTAACTCTTGATTTCCTTTCCTGATCTTTCTCTTTTGTAGTTTAGGGTTATTTATTGCATCTATTACAAGCTTATGACAAATACATAGTTATAACTCTTACCAGCTGATCTGTACCTAAATAAAAGACTATTTGGGAAGCTGATATTGTATTATCCTTGTTTTGTCCTGGTGGGATTGCAGAGAATCTCCGTGTATCTGACTATCAGATTGTGACAACATGTCCTAGTGAAAGAAGAATAAAAGAAGTTAGGCTTTCTCCCTTGCTGTTACCCACACGTACTTTCCCGATCTGAAAAAAGTCACTCCTCCTTTTCCTTCTAATCCATCCTTTAGTTTTCATGTCTTGCAATGCCTTTATCACTTGAACACATTTATGCTGCTGCTCTTTTAAACACCTGCCTAGTACACTTACAGTGTCTGTCTCCCTGAGTTGTCTTTCATCTTATGTGTAGCCTATAAGCTCTTTAGGACAGGTGCCACTATTTTGTTCTCTGACAGCATGGGGGGTCTCTTAGCTGCTAAGGCTGTACTAATAGATGATCTTGTCCATGCCGTGGCTCAGATACACAATTTTTCTGTTAATCACTTTTTTTTTTTTCCTCTTTTTAAGAACTGTTCATTGCATTTCAGTACATGTGATTTAGGACATAGTGTATAACATTCACAAGCAACATTATGATTAAAGACTGCTATAGTGATGGCTTCCAATAATATTCTTTCCCCCCCCCTTGGTAAGATCTATTTCTGGAACAAATGATCCAAGTCATGCTGAGTTCTCTGCTGAATAAATAAATAAATAGCCCAAATCTTCAAGAACTAACTCGTGACCATGTGGTCATGTAGAGTCCTTTTTAACTTCCCATAGCTTTAGAAAAGACGAATTTAGACAAATTTAGGGATATAATTTTCCATTTATATGACCTTGGACACTCACTCTAGATTAAAAAAATCGAAGAGCAGGATAATGCCTTTTCTGAACAGAACATACAGCTAGGGTGATAGAACAGTCTATCTAAATATATTCTGAAAGGTGTTCCTAAATTATGTGTCCTTACAGCCAAAGTGAAGGTATGAAGAATCGTTATGAGGAAGATATACCTTGGTAGAAAGGAGGAGCTATTTGTAAAGCTATCAAGGATGTTTAATAACTTTATGCCAGGGATTATATCTGCATGCATGTTAATATATGGTGGAAATATGATTTTTTTATTGTCACCCCTGAAATGGAGAATCAAGAAATACTGAAATCTGGCTTGTATACTCCTATGAAATGAGCTTGTCTTCAGAATGGTCACACTTTCTGCTTTTCCGTCCTGAGTGACTACAGGTATCACATAATAAATGGTAAACACAGATGAAGGAAGAATGTTAAATAATAGAAATTATAAGAAAGCTCCCACTTATGCGACTGCCAACATCACTCTTCATGATATTTCATTCTCTCAAAGATTTCTCAAGCTCAGGGCTCCTAATAATTCTAAAAGTTTGTTTAAAGGGGTAGAAGAAAATTAGCTACTTTCACAGAAGGAGCAAAATTATGTCATATTTTACATTTTCTCATTAACACATACTTTAACCACCAAGAATAATTTATGAAAGGTTTTAAGGGGTTTGCCTACATTGTGGATTGCACAGTTTCCATTATTTATTGCAATAACACATGTTGACACCACGCCTAACTAAGCAGCTCCAGAATACACAACATAGCAAATTGCTACTTTAGCTCTTGAATCAGTTTGTATTCTGTGTGGTCCTTTTCATAATCTTCATTGCATAGCACTGCAGATTTCCTGATAACATGTTGTTTGCTAGAGCTGCTAAAGGTATGCAGAACCAGTGAACTGAAGACCTGACCAATGTGCTGTGACTGACGTGCAATCCACCATTTAAGCGCTTCAGTACATGATATATTGAAGGTGATGTGAACATGACCCTATCCTCAGTGTATTTGAGATTAGGCATTAATCTTCAGGAGAGAACTTTCAAATACTGTAGAAAAAGCTTCTGTTCCAAATGATCACAAGTGCAGTGACTTAATAATAGAACTTATTATAATTATCAATTATTAATTAATGAATTATATTAATTGCTGCAACTATTGCTTTAGAACTACGTATTATTATGAGAATATTTTTCAGCAAGCACTTTTACAGCAAGCATTTAAAAATGTGCAAACTCACACAATGTAGTATACTCTGGCTTTTAGAAATCACTTTGCTCTTAAAAGTTTTATCAAGCAAATATGACTCAGAACAGTTGGAAAGGCAAGAAAATCTATTTATGAAATTTTTAACCTGTCATGTTTAATAGAAAATTTCATCCTTTTGGCTACCCAACATTTTCTTTTTTTTTTTTTTTTTTTCCCTGTTTTTTCCCTCCTGCTATGACTACATGGTTGATTCTACAAAGGATAGTTTACACCAAAGATGCTATTCTACTGCCAGTCACATCAATGCTGACCTGTAATAACTGTATTTGCATTTGGATAGAACTTGCCACCTTCCTCTGAATGCCACTGTTTGAATAGGGCTTTTGCCATCAGTTGAATATGGCTCTCAGTATTTTGTGAAACCATCAGAACTTGGGGTGCTGGTCAATTAACATTGATATGTATCTTTAGAATTCCATTCAGGTCAGTACTTCCAACATGCAATACATATATATACACACACACACATATAGGTATACACACATTCTATGAAATTAATCCAGGAAGTCACAATGTGTAAAACTGAGGAAATGCCTTCACAGGCCACTGCTTTTGTGTGTGACTAGACTTCAGATATTTCCTTACTTATGCCAACATAAAACCTTATTTGTACTACTGACCTTGGACACAAGACAGTTCATATATCTTGTCAGGGATCTAATTCAAAGCCTGATGGAAAGACTCAGACTGGTTTTAAGGCACCTTGGAAAATCCTTCAGACTTACACAGCATAAGATAAAATGTTTTCAATAATACATTTTAAAGCTTAAAAAGATCTGTTTTTTCTTAAGTTATTATCTCCAATCACTACATTATATTTCGTAAACAATAAATCACTCTT